AGGGAAAGCTAGATGAAATTCATCAATTGGTCTGACGATTTTCTGGGGTGCCAGAAAGGATGCTATCAAAGGATACACACATTAAGATTAAAAAGAAGATGCATCATATTTCAAATGTTTATTTAGGATATCATAAATGTGTGGGGTTCCTTTGGCCTTTTTATTCTTTTATATGTTTATTCATACATGTGCTTTGGTCTTACAGCTTACTTATTTTGGTGTTTAACAAATCATATTCATTTCATTTATTCAATTTTTGTCTTCTGCAATATTCTTGAGCAACTGAAAATGCATACTAATATTTCTTAGCCTTTAAATAGATTTTTCATTTAATAACTGAGTTTCCCTGAAAATAGTTTGTTAGATGAATTAGTCACTAACTGAGATATTGTATGCTATAATACATTACAATATTCAGAACAAAGATGTGGTCAGAGAAAATGCCAACCTATGACTTTGCTCCTAACTGCATGACTTTTACATGCAGCCCTGTGATGGAAAACAGAACATAAAACTTCAGTACTATACAGCACAATCAGTAAATATTACAGTACTGTAAAAACCAAGTGTTCTATATAAAAATAAGACACTGAAGCTCCATTAACAAGATGTACTAAACTGTACAGAAAAAAAGAAAGAACAGGTCACAAAGGGCCAGGGATTTAGCTCAGTGGCATAAGCACCTGCCTGGCAAGTATGAGGTTGTGTGTTTGATCCCCAGAAGAAACAAACAAACAAACAAAACAGGCCATAAGTCTGAACAGGGCACTTCAGACTAAAGTCTGAACAGTTGTTAAGCAGGTATGTTGTTCAATGAGGAATATCTGTATATACTCTAAGCTAACTCTGGTTACTCTGAATCAGAATAATACAACTTATGTTCACTTGCTTGCCATAATCAGCAGTAACTTGCAAAATGGAATTTAGTGGAGAGGGATTTAATCTTTTCAGGGATATAAACCACATATGCCTTTAGTAATGATACTTTTATATTTATATATAACTCTATTACTTCTGTCTTTAAACATGATATTTTAATTGATAGCTATTAGAAAGGTTTGGAGGTCACAGTTGGGTGGTCTCTGAATCCCTAGGCATAACAACCAAGGAAATGCAGCCCTGCCTGTGCTGTTGACACAGAGCTGAGTGGGTTCTGCAGGAGAGGAGATCGGCCTGGCGTACCCCCAACCCTGCCCTGGCCACTTTGCACACCCCACAGCACAGAGCAGTAGAGATGAGAATCAAAAGATTGATCTGACTGAGGATAAAATCAATATCCAAGAGGAAAATTTTAGTCCAAGACTGAAGTGCTAACCTACTAAAGAGACTGGGAGAGAGCCAGAATGGGAGACAAGTGTGGTGAGGTGAGCGCAAGAGAGGGGTCTCCTGAGATGTCCTTGGAAACTCAAGCTCAGGTCAGGAAGATCACAGGGCCTATATTTTGTGCCAGGAGCCCAGGTTTCATGGGTGTGACCTTGAGAGGAGTTGCATCTGAAGATGTGATTTAGTCCAATGGCCTGCTTTACTGTAGAGTCACTATCTGGGTTGCATTACTATGTACACTAAAATCATAGATCACTTCGCACTTTCCAAGAGTGGTTCATGAGTGGCTCATAAGGTTGGTCAGCATTCGGTTTATCTTTCAAGCCACTGTTGTCACTGACTTTACTGCTACAGCCAAGGTGACATGGCTGGTGCTGTCAAATGGTTTTCTCTGTACGTCAGCATCGGGTCTAGAGGTCACAAACAATACTATGGGTCAAAGAAATGGGCACGGAATTAAAGAGGCAAACCCCAGCACAGGAAACAAATGAAAATATAAAAAACATGAGAAAACAAGGCAACAAGATGTATCCCAAAATTGCCAGAGCCCCTAAGGCAAATCCACCAGGGACTGAAGATGAGTAAATCATAAGCCATGTGACCAGAAATGTTTTAAAAGGTATTATCATTGGTGATAACAAAACAATAAGGTGCGTGGTGAATTTGAAGAGGATATAACTGAACAGATAATCAGCCAAATGAAAGAAATTATCAGCAACTGTAGAGAAAACCCTAGCAAAAAGTTAGTGGCCCTAAATAAACAGATGCAATATATCTTAACAAGCAATAAGAAAGTATGAAAAATGGATGCAAGAGGAGCTAGAGGACTCAAATAAGACTAAGATAAGAGTAACTGGAATTTTTAAAAAAATCAAAAGACAGCACAAAAGGGATAAAACCTATTTAAAAAACTAATAGTAGAAAACATTCTAGACACAAAGAATTTAACAGTTAAGCAAAGCATTCAGAACCCTGAATAACCATATCAGAAAAAATCCATGTCACATAATAATTAAAGTCCTAGAAATATTGAAAGGAAATAGAGAAGAAAGTATTGAATCACACACACTCATATATAGATATAGATGTTTTCTATCTATATCTATCATCTATTGATTTACCTAGCTATACCTATCTACGAACTACTTATGTATGTTAAAATTATGATAACCTTTCAACACAAACTTGAACACGAAGAGAGCTTGGTATGAAGTGTTTAAAACCCTAAAAGAAAACAACTTCCCAGATAGATATACTGTGTAAATTATCTTTCAGATTAATGAAATAATGTTTCTGTGATAAAAGCACATAAAGACATCCAAGATCAGTCAGGTGTGATGGCTCACTCCTGAAATCCAGACACTTCGGAGGCTGAGACAGGAGAATTGTTGGGATTTGAGGTCAGCCTGGGCCTACATAGTGAGTTCAGGGCCAGCCTGTACTACATAGCAAGACCCTGTTTCAAAAAACAAAACAGAAATAAATAAAAGAAATAAAAGGAATCCGTGACCAACAAACCAACACTCCAAAAATAGTCAAGACAACAAAAAAAGAAATAACAAAATTAACAATGCCAAAATGTCCAGTAGAAGGTAAAGAAAGCAGAATGGCAAAAATAAATAATAAATATCTGAAATGTCAATACCTACCAATTATAATTATCATTATAACTATTACTGTGAATGGACTAAATTAGCCAATCAAAAAGCATGGTTTGGCAGCATGAATCAAGAAACAAAATCCAATGGCATGGTGTATACAAGAAATGCATCTCACACAAAAAGAAACTCATATATGAAAAAAATGAAAGGATGAAAAACAATAAACTATGCAACAGTAGCCCTAAACAAAACAAAAACAAAACAAAACAAACAAACAAACAAAAAACCAGAAGTAGTATTTCTATTCTGGAAGTGAACTTTAAGCCAATGTTGATCAAAAGAGACAAAGAGGGCATTATATATTGGCTAATGAAACTATTTAACAGGAAGAAATAACAATTATAAAATATATGCACCAAAATGCAGTACACTCAATTTCATAAAATAAACACTAGTGGATATAAAAAATCAGCTAAACATTAATACAATAATTGTGCTTTCAATATGACACTATAGAAAATAGATCAACAAAACAAAAACTTAGCAAAGAAACATCAGAGTTCAAACAAATATTTGAATAAATGGACTGAATATCTACAGTGCTTCATCCAACAACAGGATATACATTCTTTTCAGTAGCACATGGTATGTTATAGTTTCTGCCGGAATGTCCTCCAAAACTTCATAGATATCGGGGCAGGCCTTTAGATTATGTGATTGATTCATGGGGGAAAAACATTGTCAGCTCTTTCAAAGACAGAGAACTAACTTTTAGAAATATTAAGAACTAAAAAAACAAAAAACAATCTCTAACATGAAAGACCCAATTAAGAAATGGCAACTGTAATGAACAGATATGTCTCAGAAGAAGAAATCCAAATGGCCAGGAAGTAAAAGTGTTCAAAATCACCGATTATTAGATAAGTTCAAATTAAATGCATTTTATCCATGCTTTTATTAAATGCATTTTATCCATGCTTTTATCCTAGAAAGCATGGCTATCATCAAAAAAATCAAATAACACATGCTGGTGAGGTTGTAGAGAAGAAAAAATTCTTCTACATCATTGATGGGAATTTAAACTAGTAGAACCACTATTTAAATCAGTGTAGAAATCCTCAAAAAGGGAAAAAATAAAACTTCCACTTGACCCTCCTATTCATCTTCTAGGTATCTTCTCAAAAGAGTCATAAGTCATCACCTTACCAAAACACATACATAACCATGTTTATAACAGTACATTTTATAACAGTTAGATCTTGGAAACAACATATAAGTCCAACAACAGATGAACAAAGAAAATGTGGTATTTTTAGATAATGGGGTATTACTCTGCCATGAAGATAAAGTTGAACTATTTTAGGCAAGTGGATGAAACGGGAATATAACAGTATGTAAAATAACTCAGATACACGTTTACATACTGTATGGCTTCTCATGGGGATATCTCTTTGACTCTCTCCCTTTCTCTCTGATGTTAGATAAATAGAAGGTAGGGAGAAATTAAAATAATTCCCCAAATTATGTATTCTGAAGGTTCAAAACTGTTTTAAATTATATGTTAATTTGCTTCATTCATACTACTATTTTCTTTTTGCTACAAGAAAGAAAGGCTTTGTTCTTTTGTTTGTATCTTCTTTGCAACAAAAAGTCATTTTGCTCTTGTCTTATTTTGTTTTATTTCATTTTGTTTTGGTCTAGGATGTACTATAACATTGTGATTATCCTTTTAAGATCATGATACACAAAATAGTAACTATTTTGTTATGAAATTTTGTTTTATATTTTTATGGAAATAAGAATGTGTTTTATATTTTCTTTATCAATATCTATGTATATTAAATAAAAATAAAAAAGAACTAGGAAGAGCTGGCAGACTCTGGCTTTTTCAGCCCTTTACATAAACAGAATCTTCCCTTAGTTTTTAATTTTTTTTTTTATTCACTGGTGATGATCTTTTCTAGAGAAACTCTAGCAGTGTGTCTAAATGTGTCTAAATACAGAGACAGCTTCCTCCCTCCCATCAGCTCCCACAGCAGGTCTCTGAACAATTACAGACAAACACAACAGCCCTCCTTTATTGATTTTATTTTCATTTTTTATTGAAAGCTTCATCAAATAAAACAAATTTAAACCTAAGATCCACTGATCTACAGAAAGCCCAAGAAACAGGGAAAATGTGGAATCTAATTTAACTGTGGTACAGATGAGAAAAAAAAAAAGAAAAAAAAAACAGAAACACCATTATATTACAGAACTTTTCATGACAGAGACAGCGATACAAAAATGCTTTTAAATAAGGTTTAAAGTTGAGTGATGTTTCAGGAGTTCCATGAAGTTGAGTATGACCTGAAATAAGGGTTTTAAAGAAGCTGTGTCCCATTTTTCTTAGAAACTCCGTGTCTCACAACGGGTATTTATACATGTAGTTTTCAAATTAAGATTCAAATTATACTTTTAAATAAATGGAAGCACTTACTTGCAGAATGGGGAAAGATTTTCTTCAAGTATTTCTTTGAAATTAATTTTATAGTTCCTGAAAGGTATGAAATAACTCCTTGTTTTGTGTATGATGAAATATCACACTTTGGGGAAGAGGACAGAGCATCTTTCTTAAAATTTCTAAAACCAGAGGATTTAAATACAAAGTATAACATTAATGTTACACTTTGAACCTATATAAAATGTGATCATAAGGGTTTTCACCGGAGTATCAGTCATTCAGCCTCGATACAGTGATACAGTCAAAATATAACAAAAAAATAAAATGCATTTTTCATTAAACTTGAATGAGTGCACATTTAACTTAAAGCTATTATATTCTTATCACAGAAATTGTGTTTATTTATTCAACTTTCAGTAGAGTGAATGAAACCAAAACACTTTTCTTCTGAGAGAAGCCCAATCCTTGGCCACAGTATTTTTCTTTATATTCTGCAAGAATACAGTCAACTCTCAATTATTTGTGGTGAATGGGTAAAGGATATTATGAATTATTAAAATTCAGAGTCTACAGTGCACCGATGCGAGTTTTCTTAATGACTTCAACTCTCAATAAATCAGTAGTTAAGTAACAATTGACTCATTTGAATTTTACTTCCAATTTTTTTCCCATCCCTAAGGTGAAATACTAATGAATGGAAACAGTGCCCAAAGCCTAATTCTTGAGCAGAAAAGACAGATATTCAAAGTGGACAATTAGCCCTTCAAAAATTGAGAGCGATAGTATATTTGCAAAACTCAGAAATGGGGCAGTTTTAGGAAAAGCTCCACTGTGCACTCAGTGGCCTTGTGGTTCTTTCTGCAGACTCCAAGCTCGATGATTCTAAACTCAATTCCATAATCTTCCTGGGTGGAAGAAACTTTTCTTAATGCTTTATTTTCCCACCTCAAGATACACAGAGGTGAATATTGAGAGCTTGCTCATCTCTGTCTCTCTCTGTGTCTCTCTCTGTCTCTCTCTCTCTCTCTGTCTCTCTCTCTCTCTGTCTCTCTCTCTCTTTGTAGTTGTTTGTTTGTTTTGATGACAAGTGAACATTTATATGCTGGGGTAAAAACCACACTTAAAAGAAATCATTAATCTAGCATGAACTCCTCCCTATGACTTCATAGAAGATCTTTGGGGCCACTTAGGTGTTCAGCATTGAGCTTTTAAACTTTTCTGAACACATAATCCACAAAACCCAAACCAAGAATATTTGGATTAAGAGACCAATGTCATATTTTAAAATATTTGGTAAGAAGTGTTAATCTTGGTCATTCCCGATTGTCTTCCAGTGTGTAATGGACGCTATCTATTTGTAAACCAAATATATTCATTAATGAAATTTCATTATCATTTTGCCACAGAAAACATACAGTGTTCAGAAGCAATAAGGCTGTTTAAATGCTGTCAATCCCTCAGATGGACACGAGAGGCTGTCAGGTTCAGGAAACTTACAACTGTGTAGCACCCAGCCACAACAGCATGAAAAGTAAGATCCATCCTTTAACCTTACTCAGGTCAAAGAAAATAGACCAAGATTCGATGACTTGTCATACTGTGATACAGTGCATGATTACTCAAGTGTGCTGAAAGTTGTTATATATGTACATAAATGTTGTCCCTTGTTCAGTTTAAAAATCTCTAAAAACACTTATTACTGAAATACAATAATTTTTCTCTGCTTATCAATTCATCTGCAGTGGTTGATGCACTCAAATTGGGAATGACACTGAATTGTTGAATGTATTGTTATCTATTTACATCATTATCTGTCTAGACAGCCCACTGAAAGTTGTCTTCAATCATGGAAAAGACCACAAAGGTCCTATTTAAATCAAATTTCACTTTTCATTAATGGAGATTTTAGGCCATTATAAACATTATATAGCCGTAGAAGAGACATCTCAATTATTTACTTTTTTGAAAAAATCAAAATTCAGAGCTGTTTTTGGTTATATATGAATGAAAAAATAATTCTTTAAGTTTCTGATAGGGCCAGTGTCTTTTGTTGCCATAGTGAAATAATGTGAATTCTTGGCTTCCTTCAGCCTTCTTCAGTCCTTAGCCTCCACCTCCAAGGCAGGAGGAGCACACTTTTAATGCCAGGCTATCTTGCATTAGAAAGAGGTGAAAGGGCGTCATATGTTTTTCAAGATGGTAAATCTGCTGAAGCCATACAAATAATTAATTCAAGTAAAACATGAGACAATACTGTCTGAACTGTTGAAATTTACCAAGGAAACAAACAATGTGGGCCAAATTGGAGTTAAATAATGGATTTTCTTTAAAATGTTATTCCAGCTTTTATATAAAAGACACATTAGCATTGAAAACCAAATCATCATCAGCACCTGCTAGCATTCCCTCTAGTTCACACAATCTGAATTTTGTTGTCCTTTCAAGATATGGCTTTGCTTTGGGCGCCTCTGGTTTCTACACACTGTGGTGTTCTTTTACTTCCAAATGTGTAGGATAAGTCACAGCAATGTCAAAAGGAAACAATGAAGCAGGTAAGTACATGTTTGGTAAGTCACAATACAAAGAAAATTAACTTCATGTAAAAAGGATTTTAGTCCTAAATAAGATTAAAATCCCACAATATATGTTGCTAACTAAATTAGTTTTCTGGTATTTGTGTATTTTGAACACATATTTTGATTTTCTTTCTTTTTCCAACAATTTAATGCTGCTTACCTGTCAAGACCCCTTCCCTCTCCCCAAGAATGGATTCTTGAAAACAGTTCCTAGGTCAAATGACAGAATAGGGGTGCAATTTGGACATGCGCATTTTTTTTTATCATTTTGTTTCTTTTTGGTTTGAAATAGCACATTTTATAGAATTTAATGATATTAACAATCCAAACGTAAAACACACATGGGCACATAAAATGACAGGGAGAATAATTTCCTGAGACTACTAAAATTTCATAGTTGAAGAAAAGTATCTGAATGTATAAATAAAGCAGCAGTTTTGAATAGAAACAAGAAGTTACCTAGGCACATTTATCAGCCACATGTTAGCTACCTCTTACCCTCACGGATGAATGTGTGGATGAGTCTTTCTTTGTATCATATTAATATACATTTTTGATATTTTTTACCGAAAGAAATGAATCCATGTTGGCTTTATATTTAAGTGAAGTATTCTTAGGATAAACCTTATTGATACAAAGAATTTCAAGTGCCAAAAAGAGAAATAGAAAATATAGTTCCCATACAGGTTTTTTTGCATTATGCGGAACCCTCTTTCCAAAATAACACCACCATTGCAATACATGGGAAGCTGAAGGATACAGTGGAGAATGTTTAAATCTAGGATTCTCTCTACAGCATGGAAAACCATCAGGATGTGACCAGTTGAGTTTCTGTGTGGCATACGCCACATATTGTTGGTGTATTTTGCCAGTGGTTAAACTACATATATGAGCAGTCAATCTGGGTTTGAGCTTCCATCCATGGGCTTGCAAATTTAAAAAAGCAGGATCTATTTAAACAGTGGACTATTAGCAATTTCATATGAGTAAAACTCTGTATTCATCTCCTTATTCATACCCACCTAATGAGAATACTGATTTGCCTTTTATATTTTTTTTTTGTTTTTTAAAAGTCTACCCTGTGTTCTTTTATAGTGCACTTAGACATTTTCCTCTTTCTTCTGGGCAAAGTCAGGTTCCGGTATGGTACTTACTTAGTTTATGAAAGAGTTTCTCTTTGTGACTGAAATGATTCATTCAAAATGCACTTCTAGTGAGTAGTTCAATGAACAAAATTTCATTTGCTTTTCTTCAATTTCAGTTTAAACTGTATATGTTTAATGTGACCTTGACGAATCAAAAGTGTAAAGATGTTTTCTAGGTAAATCGGTTTAATAATTTTAGATACAATTTTGTATCATTCTATATGTATATAGCTCCTTTGGCTTTAATGATTGATCAAAACTAGTTCTTTTGGTACTTATTGATATAAATCATACAATTTCTTGATTGTCAACTAGCATTTTAACAGTTTCCCTAAATCCCACTAGGAGAATCCGCAGTATTACTGGTACTTCTTGCCTCAGAAAATTAAACTGACATAAAAAGGTATATTTTCTTTCTTTCAGGCAAGATCAAGACATGAATACACTGTGAAAAGAGACAAAAAGAAAACAACCCCTCCCCACCTGCAGCGTCAAAGTAGCCAGTAATGGTAGATGATGACAGGACTGCCGTGAGAAGACAAAACAAGGAGGTTACTGGAATTTAGGAGGAAGACCATTGTTAGGTTGTTACAAATACCGTGAGACCTTTGCAGGAGACCACTCACCATTTCACACAGTATCACTAAGCTTTTCCGACAAATGACATTTCAGAGACCTTCCAGGCCATGTTCAGGAAGTATCTTTAGTTCACAATCCACAGAAAGTAAGTCCAGCCTCTTACACATGTCTCTTGGCTTACTGTTGGCCATCAACACAGGTGTCTTATTGAAGAGAGCTAGCAAGGAACCATAAAAGCTTAAAAAATTAAAAGCTTCTTGGCTCAATTAATTGGTATCCAGAACTCTTCATGCTGGGACCGCTGAACACAGCCGGCGTGAGCTTCTGTTATAAACAAATATACATTTAAAAAAATTCTTTTTGCAGTATGTAAAATACCAGTGGAAGGTAATTTAAACAAACAACAAAGTAAGAACTGGTCCGGCCATTGTAGGTCAAATAAAATTTTAAAGAAAAGAACCAAAACAAAACAAAACAAAACAAAACAAGAAGAAGAACCTCTATCTTCTGGACTGTAATAGGGTATCACTTCATCTTTGGTATAAAATAGGCCATCCTTAGGCTGAATTTGATCACAACTAGGAAAGACTACAGAAATTGTCAACAATTTCTCTATCTATTGCTTTTTTTGTTTTTGTTTTTTGTTTTTTTGCACTTTTTGACCATAAGCTCCTATCTACTTACTTTTTTTTTTTGTTTTGTTTTTAATGCTCTTAGCTAAGTTTTGCAATGTGACAAGCAAAGCTGACTAAAAACTTTGTAAAGCTCATAAAAAAGACTGCAGATAAAAAGCACTAATGCTTTTGCTAGCAATCACGCTTTGTAAATAAAAAAATCTGCATTCTGCCCCCCAACACGCATTATTTCTAATGCAGTTGTTTTAAACCAACATTAATAACTTTACTGTAAAATGTTTTAGCCTTCTAGAACGATTTGTGTCAACACTTAAGACAAAGTTCATGAAAAGTCCCAGCATTTCCCAATTCTTGCAGTTGCCATGGTTTCTTTTATCAACAAATTTTCTTCAAATGAAGAAAAACGTTTTCTTTTAAACTGTACAGTTTTCTTCACCCTAAAAACGCATAGTCTTAAGCTTCTGTACCAGTTAAAGCTGGCACAATATTTCAATTCTTTCTTGAATTATTTTTTTAAACAAGACGTTGACAGCTTGCCTTGAGAGCTTTTGACGTCCTTAAAATTAAGGCAATTAAGATTCAAGATAAACCTTACCTAAAAATTTCTAAGAAAAAATAAAATAAGAAAAAACAACCCACCAGATTTAAACAGGAAGGGAAAAACAAAAAGTAGCTTAATTACTGAGGAAGACTATTTGCTTCCATATTGGTTTGCCCAACTCTTGACATCAGGTTTTCCATTAAAAAAAAAAGAAAAAAATAAAATCTATCTATACATTCAGGTAAAGTTTGAATTCAAATGCTCTTCCAGAGATAATGTTAACCTTCCATAGCCCCACCCCCCAGCCCTGGGATTTCTTTTCCTTTAAGTAAAAAAGAAAGGGTGGCAAAAATAAATCGTCAGACCACATGAAGGAACCATTTGCACAGCACATAAAGACTTTGTTTCACTGAGTATAATATAAAATTAAAAAAAAAAAAAAAAAAAAGAAGCCTTCCATTGATGCCTGTGCAAACTGGAAGCCAACTAAGTTCTTGTTCAGTGAAGTTTCTTCATTCAAGGCAAAATTTCAGGCGGACATTCTTCTGTTTATGGTCTGCAAAAACAATGGAATAAGAGTGGTCATTACATCACAACAGCTTTGAAATTGTCTTCTGCGCTGTTTGCCAGTGAGATCTCTTTAAAGGGTAGTGAGGTCTTTCACTGTAACATGCACATGAAATAAATTTTAAGCTTATATTTAATTAGAAAAGCATATTTAGCCTATAAAATTGTCAAATGCCACTTTCACGAATATATTCAAGCTAGAGAGTTTGATCTCATTAAATAAATTTAATTTATTGAAATTAAATTTAATAGACTAAGAGTCTCATTTTATTCAAAACAATAAATATTACAGACACACCTCACTTATACTCAGAGAGACATCTCTCCTGCTATAGTTTGGATATGGCTTGAGTATGTTCCCACAGAGATTGTATTTTGGAAGCCTGGTCTCCGGTATGGCGATGTGAAAGATGAAATTTTATGAGACAGTACCTAGAAAAGGTCAATGTGAATGCTGCTTTTGGAAGAGATTAAGATAGTTCTCATCTGATCCTGAGCTAAGTTTTGAGATCAAATTGATTGAAAAGAAGAACCCTTACCCCTTCCTAATCTTTGCTTCCTGTCTTGTGATATGAACTCTCTCACACTGGATCCTACCACATCATCTACCAGTGATCACACTGGATCCTACCACAACATCTGCCAAAGATCCCTTACCAGTGGCCAGAGAGATGAGACCACCTAACTTTGGATTTGCAGCCCACAAAACTGTGAGCTTAATAAATTTCATATAGTATTTAGCTTCAATTATTTTATGATAGCAATAAAACACAAATAAATACAACTTCCTATGAGCATAGAATCTACTTTCTAATATCTGCTTTGTGTTATACCTCTCCTGGAGTTTCTTTAAGTATTTATTTTTAGAACTTCCCTGGGATTCCTCACTAACTCAGTCAACAATGTGCAGTTCTCCACTATGCATCGTAATGACTGAATTCTATGCTGCCTTGTAGTATTACTAAGTAGAGTCACATAACCTTGACTGGCCTGAAACATAAGACAATTATTCTACCTTGTTTGTTGATCTCATCCAGATTTTAAATTCTTAGCTGGATGTGATAATTTGCACTTACAGTCCTAGTATTCGAAAGGCTAAGATGAGAAGCCTATGTGAACCCAGGACTTTAGGCCAACCTGAGCAATATAACAAGAACCCTATCTCAAAAAAAGAAATGCATTTCTTGCCATCAGAGTATTTTATTTCTACTTTTTATTCTCAAGGTATATGGAGAAGTGGAATGTGCATAATAGGTGATTAACTAGATAAATGTCGTTTTACTGTGTTTAATGTTTCCCAGATGGGCTGGGTTAACCAAAGCTCTGAAGTTCCATCTATATTAGAGGATTAGGGTTCTAAGGGATTGAATTTCACACTTAACTCTTCTGTTCACAGATTAGAACTTTATTAAAAAGTTAGGTTATGTTGTACAAAGAGGAAACTTTATCTGTTGGTCACCTTCAAATGGAGTCCTCTTCTTTCAGGGTATCGAACGGTAGAGAAAAGCTCTGCTGATTCTGCTCGTATTCAATTGCTTCACTCAGTAAACAAAACTCATGAATGCAGAGTCTAGGAGTGTAAGACCAGTGGCTGAGGCGGGGGCCCAAATTTCACTTAAATGTCTGCTGCCAGAGTCATGAGATCTGTACAGGACTGCCTTGCTCTCAGCAAGTGTTTTGGTTTTATTCAGATTTACGAAAGGCTTTCATAAATGCTTTAACTGCATTATATTTAGACTGAAATGGCCCAGACAGATCACTTCTGCCTAATTTGTCAAAGTCATAATGAGTTATTTATTGTTATTAGGAACCTAATGAGTTTTTTTTTTTTCCTGGAATCATGTATAGAAAGCAACAAATTGATAGACTATTTGAAATATTTATAAATAAGTTAAAGTCTCTAAAATTTCATCTTGTTTTCCTTTGTCTGTTACATGGTAAAATTGGATTTCTTCTTAGAAGGAATAAAATTACAATCTTCATAATAACAATAATGATAAGTTAAATCTTAGTAGTAGTAGTATTAAGAACCATGAGCTATATTTTAGTTCACTTTCTCTACTTTTGCAAATTATAGACTTACTCTGTTTCTAAAATCTATTTTGCTATGAAAACAAAATCTTGGTCTATTTTTGTGGACATTTCCATTTTCCATTGTGCATTGAACAGAAAATGTCTAAAACATCTTGATTTCTTCATTCAAGGAACAGCCATTCCATAAAAGACCCTTTCTGCTGAAGTACTTAATAGGCACTGAACACTGAATCATTAATGTTTCCTGGGTAGGCTGGGGCTACTTTTAGGTTTATAACCTTATATGATTGTTTCTTGTTATTCTTTCGTAATTTTTTGGCCCATAAAGTAGTCTCACTGCCACACAAAAACAAATGATTGAACTTTAAATATTCATCATTCCTAACTGAAGTTTGAAGGAAAATATTGCTATTTAATACAATTAAAATTTACTTGTGTCTGCCTTAGCTAAAGGGTGATATGCACATTTATGTAGTGACTGCACTGATACTCATAAAAACGCAATTCTACATTTTCCACGCTGCGCTCATCAGTAAGAAGAATATATTTAATTTAAAATTAATTTACGTGAAAGAGCTAAGTACTATAATCATGCACAAATTGTAAAGTACCTGCACATAGAACATAATACGACTCATAAGTACAATTCACACATTATCAGTATACTGACAATGTGTAGGAATTTGATGTTCATGGAAGTTCAGTTAGCCAGACAAAATTTGGAGAATAAAACTAGATTTCAATTCCAAGGGTAATGCAATGATTTTTTAATGTCAGAGTGAATATTTGTCGGCTGATAATTTTCTGGATTTAAGAACATGTCATTTTAAATTCTCTCTTTAATCTTCTCTTCAACAGCAGCAGAATGACTAGGTTGAGAAATAACAAACTATAATCTCCAAAATCTATTTTTTAAAATAATTTAATGATTCAGTACTTCTCAGAGTAATTGCTTACAGACTAATTTCATGTGATAGATATTATGTAAACAGCAGTATTTCATGGTCCAGAGTTTGGAAAAGTTGCATACTGCATTTTCACTGCTGGATTAGCCACAGGTAAACTAAAGATTAGGTAGGGCACAATGCATACACCAATGTAAAAAAAAAAAATACTTGAGGGAGGGAAGTCTAAAATGTTTTACATTAATATCAAAATTACTAATGGATAATCAATATATTATTACGCTTCTGTAGTATTTTAGATTTTACTGTCTTGGAAATCTACAGAAAGAAGACAGCACACACCCTGTTCTGTCAAGCAGTAAAACATCTGGAGTATGTATTTGGCCCCATAGAAGAGAGGTCATGTATATTATTATCATATTTTACTCTACTTTGAAGACTTTGAAGAGAACTGCAATTAAGGTAAACATTTCCTTTAGACTGTAGCTGGGTATTCCAAAACATTTGAACAAGGAAAGGCTGCAGAAGCTTTCTAACCCTCACTCCTGAGTCTATTGGTAAGTCCTACCTCTGTACTAGGGCCATAGCTCACATCTTTGGAGAACAATGATCTAATTCTCACACTTTTAAAAAAGAAGATATTCAGGCTCCAATAAAGTGAATGATAACTGAATATACAAAGCTAGAATAAGAACCATTACACATATTAGATTTAACTTTATTTGAAGACATTCTCTTTAGATTCTATTTATGTTTAAGGTTACTGCTTAACATAAAGAAAAACAGGTAATTTGAATAGGAATTGGAATGTTCATAAAATTTCCTTGATAGAATGAAGACATCATTTCCTCCTAGTGTGATAAGAGCTCAGAGTCCCTTTTGCATTAATAGATTCTCTTAACAATGGGGAAAAAAAAATCCCTCCACAAATACAAAATGCAAAGTACTGTTTTAGCTAGCTCGTAGAATTCAGAATATTTAAATATTTACTGATAGATCCCAAATACACTCTCTCTTATTCATAGACTCATTATTTGCATTGCATCCACCTTTCTTTTGTGATCTTTGGTTGTGATGCTGTCATTTTCTTACAGTATCCTTAGTGTAGACATTTGGATGTTGAAGGTATATGTGAAGCCTCAAGCTGCTTTTCAGGGGCACTAAGTTGCCTCCTCAGAATGTCATACCCACAGGAGGTTAGCTAGCATTTAATGAGAAAGGCCAGAGGTTTGTACCAAGTACTGTAAGCTATCCATATCTCAATTAGCATAATGATGGTTAGAAATGGGTTGCCTGATGAAAGTAGGGGCATGTTAATTATCATAATGATGTTGGAAATGAGCTGCTGCTTGTGAAATCTGGCTTGTTTAAAATAATGTGGATTGGCTAAATTATCTTAGAAATACTTTTCCAATATATTGCAACAGGAAGGAACATAAAAGGATCTTAGGGACATCCATAGTAGACTATAACTAACTTCAGGAAATTGCTGGAGGCTTGATCTCAAAACAAAACTGTCATGAAGTAGATGTCTGGTAGCCCCACTGAGGATAATATAGTCCCATGTCTAGAAAATGGTCAAATGTAGTCAGACTGAATTTCTCATGGTGGGTATAATCAGATAACTTTAAAAAGCACAGCAGACTTGTTAAACACACTTATATCTGTATAAGCTGTTATATGCCTGCTTTCTAGGGAATGCTTGTTTGATAACTGTCACCCTGAGTGATTTAAATCCCTCAAACTTTTTCCTGTGAAGGTTACTGATGAAAAAGAGCACTGTGTGCGTAAAGTAAATATTTAGCTCCATTTCCAGTGCATTATTTGAAAAATCTCATGTATTACCAAGATGTAGGTTAGATTTCCTTGGCTGACATTGGTAAAACTGATAATCTTCAAAAGTATTTCTCTTGGTATGTTGTTTCTTTTTCAATTAATATTTTGTTGTTTCAAGTCAGAGGCTCAACACTTTTTGCATTTCACAAAGAGGAAAGTAAGGATAGAAAAAAGACCTGTTAATTTTTTTATCAGTTTAAAGGACTCTCTGCAA